TTAGAGGTTTTCTTCGTCTTTGAATCTCTCTTTACTGTATATCTTTCTTCTTCGGACCACATGAGTCTTTATGGAGAGGATTAAAGTCGTGGCTTTGACAGCTGGATCCAGCCCATTCCTTAGCTTTCCAGCCTCATGGTGGAGTACTGGCTGTAGCCATTTTTATTGCCACAACTCTATGGCATTTTAAGGTCCTTGCCAGCAAGCAGGCTGCAGCATTCTGCTCACAGACCACATTCAAATGCTCCATTGTCAGACTGCCTTCCTGAAAGAGTCAGAGTTTGCCCTGGCAGGACAGCCTAGAAAGCTGGCATTTTAAAATGGCGGAGGTTTTTTCCTACTACAGCTGAAAACTGAAAAGCATGTGGTCAGCTTTTTCATCAACACCGTTTAAGTGTTTTGTGTCAGGACCTCTTAAAGAGCTGCAGGGTTTTGCAACTAAAGCTGAGTCAGGAAGCCTCTCTTAAATGAGAGCGCTTGCTTGCCTCTAGCAAGCAGAGCAGACCCAAGAAATTGCTGCTACCAAGAAAACATGCTTTATTTTATTCTTTCCCAAGCTTTCTCAGGCTTTCTGTGGATGCAGTTATCCATGTTGGGCGCCATTCTGTAACACCTTTCCATCTCTTCCTTCAAGTCTTATGTCTCTTATGTCCACCAAGAATTGGTCTCCAGGAAGCTAGCAGGGATGGATGCGTTGGGGGCGGGGTAGATGACTGTCTAGCAGACCAGCTCCCTGCTGGTGCTCCTATGTCTACCCAGTATTGGTCTCCATGGAGCTCGCAGGGAATGATGTGTTGGAGGTGGGGTAGATGGCTGTCTAGCAGATCAGCTTCCTGCTGGTGCTCCTATGTCCACCAAGTATTGGTCTGCAAGAAGCTAGCAGGGAAGGACATGTTGGGGGCAGGGTAGATGGCTGTTTAATAGAACAGCTCCCTGCTGGTGCTAGGAATGCCTAAGGCACCTGGGGGAGGGGACCCCGGCCTTTCTCCCACGTGTAGGTTTTAGGGGGTAGGGGTCTGGGATCCCAGGGCCACTGTTGTCTCACTTCCTATTGTAGAACTTTAAGACAATTCTGAAGCCATTTCTGACAACTCTCAGTACTTCCCCTACTCCCCTGGGAACCAAGGACATAACAGCTATGCATGCATGTACTGAGATGTTGGGAACTTTCCATCTCCCTAAATAGCAGCAAGATAACCCTTAGGTGTTGATTCAGTTACTGATGTACTGACTTAGTCCCTGGGAAGGGGCAAAGTGACCCTCAGAAGTGTCCCTTTACCTCATCTGATCTGGCAACCACTCTCCAGTCAATTATTGGTAATAGCCCTTTTGAATAAACCAATCATAATAGTTAAAGAACAACTCCCAGACACCCCTTCCTTCTGTGGTTTTTCCCTTTAAAAATAGCCTGTACCAGCCATTCAGGCTCTTCTAGCCTCCTGACTGCTGGAGGACCCTGTCATGACAGAATTAATAAAATCCTCATGCTTTTACATCAGCTGTGATGTGAGAGATGGTCTCTTGGGGCGACTCCTCCTCCTCAGTGATTGGACGCTACGGTCCAACACTATGTCCACCAAGTATTGATCTCTACGGAGCTCACAGGGACCGACACGTTCTTTTGATGGTTTTAATAGTTTTGTAGTAAATGTATTTAACATCAACTCATCCCAATGCATTTTGTATTGTTGGCTTCCTTTTGATATCAGCAGATGTCCATTTTAAAGCTTTCTAAAAGAGTGACTTGATGTTTAGATGTATCCAGATCCAAGTATACATATGCCTTTTTGAGAAGGAAGTGGTTTTTTTTGTAAAGCAACTGGAATTCACATGACTCTGTGAGGGTTTATAGTAGAGCAGATTATATAGAAAACAGATAAATAGCTTCATAGAGCAAAGGAGTCTTTAGTTTTATCGCATATGGCCAACCAGTTCCATTCCTAGCTGTTGCTGAGGCTGGGGAGGAAAAATAGCCCAAAGTTTTGCTGGAATAACCCTAAAATGGAATAAATAACTCTTAACAAAAATGTCAACAAAAATTAATGAGTTGATTATAACACTGTGGCGCTATCTCAGATTCACAGTATTTATTTGACTTTTAGAAGATACAAAAGACTGCTTTTGTAATTACCTTTATGTAAAACACTAGAAAAGATGAATCTTTAGTTAGAAGCAACCGTTTAGTGGTTACCAAGGGCTGTGGTTAGGTATTGTCTGAGGAAGGGATGTGAAAAACCTTGTATGTTGTGATTATAGTGTTGTTGTGAAGTTTGACACGTTTACCAAAACATAGTTGAACCTCTCATGAGTAAAAACTTTGATAGTGTCTAAGAGGAAGGATTTCCATAATTTTCATTTTTAAGTTCATAGTCTACAAGAATCTTAAATTGTAGCAACACCCACTTCCTGTGTACCACTTTCTTTCCTGAGCATGCAGGGACTTACTTAAACACTCTTGTGTTCTATGGTATTTTGTACCTCTCTCCCTTCTAGCACTTTGCAGATTTAACAGTATTTTGTTTCTTAAACTTTCTGTGGGACCTTTTGTAAAAAGAGGAGGACTCCCTCCTTCCCTTGCTCCTCCTGTGTCCTAGTAACTTATGTTAACATATACCTCGTAAGTCAGTAGCTTAGAACTCAAAACAATCCATAAAACATAGTCAGGTCTTTCGAAAATCTGCATTTATTGTGTGTGTGTGCATCTGTGCCATGACACACACATAAAGATCAGAGGGCAACTTTCAAGAGTTTGTTCTTTAAAAGAAACAAAAAGGAAAAAAATGTCAGGTATTTCACTGAAGAGATGGCTTAGTGGTTAAGAGCACTGGCTGCTCCTCCAGAGGACCTGGGTTTGATTTCTAGTACCTACATGGCAACTCCCAATGCCTATAACTCAAGTTCCAGGGCTTCTGTGGGTACCAGACACACACATGGTACACAAGCATTCATGCAGACAAAACACCCTTATACATGAAATTAGCAATTTAAAAAATTAACTTTTTAATTGCAAAAAGTCAGTTCTTGCCTCCTGCCTTGTTGGTGCAATGTCTGCCTTGTTTCTCCTGTACTCAGTATTCCATGTTAGCTGACCCACAAGTTTTCAATCTTTTTTTTTTTTCTGTCTTTGTCTCCCATTTTACATTCAGAGTGCTGGGATTACAGGTATATACCACTACCTCCAGCTTTTTATGTGAGTTCCTGAAATGGAAGTCTGTTCTTCAAGTTTGGGACAGGGTTTCTCTGTGTAACAGCCTTGACTGGCCAGAATAGACTGGCCTTGGACTCAGATCTACCAGTCTCTGCCTCCGGTGCAGGGATTAAAGGTGTCCACCACGCCCAGTTTTACTGGCAAGTTTGTTTAACACTAAACCAGTGGTTTTCAACCTTCATAGTGCTGTGACCCTTTAATATAGTTCTTCATGTTGTGATGACCCCCAGCCATACAATTATTTTCATTGCTACTTTGTAACTGTAATTTTGCTACTGTTGTGAATAGTAATGTAAATGTAAATATTTGACAAAGTAGTTGCTACCCACAGGTTGAGAACCACTATTTTAAAACTTTTTACCACCAACCCCTCCCTGCCCCCCGGGCACCACCAAAAGTCTTTTAACTCTAGTCTACACCTGACAGTTACTTTAAAATAAAACCACACCTTGCATTTTTAACATTTGAAATGAGATGGACAGCCTGCAGTAGGGGCTTCTGTGTGTCAGTGCAGGGTACTGTTGGAACTGAACTGACAGTGGTAGTCTCGCCTATGTTATTGAAGAGGATAAGTGGGTAAGTGGAAAGAGGAGGAAAATAAGAGCTCTATAAAAAGTAGAATCAGGGTTTAGATGATTAATTTGGTTAAGGAAGAGGAGATTTAAAGAAAATTATCTATATTTGCTGTAAGGACCAAGAGAATATTAAGAGGAAAGGGAAGACAAGTCAAGAGTACTAATAGAAGACTTCATAGGTGAGCAGAGGAAAGTGTCTGTGGCTCTTGAAGGGATGTGTGTAATGAGTCTTGTTAGACTTTCTTTGCACTGCCAGTTCCTAAGTAATGATTTGGAGACTTATTATTAATTACAAAAACTTGGCCTTAGCTTAGGCTTGTCTCACTAACTCTTATAAGTTAAATTAACCCATTTCTATTAATCTCTTCACCTCTTCTCCATTCTGTACATCTGACTCCCCTGGTGTCTCATTGACTAATGCTGTGTACCTAGATTCTTCATCCCGAGTTGTTATCTCTGCCTGGAAGTCCCGCATAAACTGCCTTCCTAGCAGTTGGCCATTCAGCTTTTTATTAAACTAATCACAGCTATACATCTTCACACAATGTACAAATATCTCAAAATAGATGTGAACTTAGAGGAGGAGTGTATTAGGCAATCAACCATCTAGCTGAAGTCGTACTGTATGAAGAAGGTAGTCAGTAATTACAGTCACTTTCTTTGAACTGATAGGATATTTCACCATCGGGCTGCTCAGAACTACAATCGTGTTTTCTGTCATATTTTTGACTCTTTTATATGACTGCTATTCTTTCAGACTTTAGTTATTAATATTTTCTTAATACTTAGACTTTGTATTTAGATAATTTTGTAAACTTGTTATACTAATATTTTTGCAGTTCAACATATTTTGTGGGTATTACATATTTTTGGATAAATTTCAGCCTTAAATATTGACTTAGAATTTTCCAAAGTAATAATCAAAAGGGTAACTTAATATTTGTGTTGGCTGGGAGATTGAACACTTGTTCGTGTTAATTTCTTTTTCATGTATTTGTTTTGCTTTGTTTTTCGGGACATAGTTTTTGTGTGTAGCTCTGGCTGTCCTGAACTAGCTCTGTACACCAGGCTGACCTCAAACTCACAGTTCAGCCTGCCTCTGCCTCTGGAGTGCTAAGGTTGAAGGCATGCACAACCACTGCTCAGCTCAGTTTTATCTTTTTGAAGTTCCCGGTATGTTAACTAATTCTCAAATATTTGCCTTATTGCCTCTGCAGGTTTGATAATGGGCTGCATTAAAAGTAAAGAAAACAAAAGTCCAGCCATTAAATATACACTGGAAAACCCTCCAGAGCCTGTAAGCACAAGTGCCAGTCATTATGGAACGGAACACACTACAGTTACCCCAACCTCTTCCACAAAGGGAACATCTGGCAATTTTAGCAGTCTTTCCATGACACCATTTGGAGGGTCCTCTGGAGTGACTCCTTTTGGAGGAGCATCTTCCTCATTCTCAGTGGTGCCAAGTTCATATCCTACAGGTTTAACAGGTGAGACTTAAATTGTCAGTTGCAGAAAATATAACCTTGGACTTTACATACTTCAGGTATGGCCACTGTCAGGAAAAATTTCTTATTAGCAGATTTTCAAAAAAGTTGGATGAGTAAATAAAGCCTTTAACAAAAGGCAGTCTGACTGTGTAGCCGCATTACTCTCAAAATTTTGGGGTTTGTCTCTCTCCTCCTTTCCTTTCCTTTCCTTTCCTTTTTCCTTTTTCCTTCCTTTTTCCTTTCCTTTCTTTTCCTTTCCTTTCCTTTCCTTTTTCCTTTCCTTTCCTCTTTCCTCTTTTTCCTCTTTCCTTTCCTTTCCTCTTTCCTTTCCTTTCCTCTTTCCT